AGAGAGAGAGAGAGAGAGAGAGAGAGAGAGAGAGAGAGAGAGAGAGACAGACTCTTGCATGTGTGTGTTTAACACTAACTTCTCCACCATACTCAAGTAAAACCTTGGGATGCCCCTCTATCCTTGTGCCCCTGCCTTGGGAGTCTTCTCTGCTCTGTTACAGACGATATGTGACCAAACCCACCTCAGATGAGGATGATGGAGAAGAGAAAGGTGAGTCCCTAAGAAGGTGAGAAGGGAGAGAGGTCCAGTAAGGATGAGTGTATCTTACTTAGCAGGGGTGAAGGGCTGAGGAGCAGTGGGTTTGGGGGATATAACACACACAGGGTTCCTCTGTGTTGAAGCCCAGTTCCCTGAAGTACCCACATTTTGATCCCTGACATTTTCATCCTAGGGGATGAAGATGAGGATGAGGATGTCGAACAACAAGAAGAAGATAATAGCAGTAGTGAAGAAGAAAAGGAAGAAGTGTCTGGGCCTACCGTTAATGATGGCACCCAAGAAGCAGAGCAGGACCAGGCTGGCACCAGCTCTGGGGTCACTGGGACATGCCCATTCCTCTTAGATAACAGCCTCCACACATCGCAGTGGCCTCCGAGGCGACGACGAAAGCAACTGTTTACTCTGCAGACAGTGAACTCCAATGGAACCAGTGACCGGACCACCTCACCTGAAGAAGTCCAAAGTATGTCACCTGGCTAGGGTTACAGATAACAGGAGGATGTCCTAGCAACAGGAACATAACTATAACTATCTTCTCTGCACCCCTAGCCCAGCCATACATTGCCATGGATTGGGAACCAGAGATGAAGAGGCGTTACTATGATGAAGTGGAGGCTGAGGTAAATGGAAATGGGACCTAAGGGATGGTCTTGTAGCTCACACTGCAACCCTTTATACATCCTCTCCTAACTCCAGCTAGGAATAGAGCCAAGAAATCCAGGCCCAGGACTGGCCTGGTCTTGGCACCTGCATACCTCTGAGAGTGCCATGGTCTCAGGTTCTGACTCACTTGGTCTGTGATTGCATTTTGCCCTATTTTTCTCTCTCTTCCTCATGTCTGATCCTCTGGACACTAAACTGCCCTCCCCAGGGTTATGTGAAGCATGACTGTGTGGGATACATGCTGAAGAAAAATCCAGTGCAGCTGAAGGAGTGCATCAAACTCTTCACCACTGTGGAAACCCTTGAGAAGGAGAACCCCTGGTGAGTGCCTGCCATTCAGAGATTTCATGAGTGGGACTAGCTGGAGCCTTTAACAGAAGTACTCACAAACAGGAACAAAAGTCAGAACTTCTTTATAAAATGAAAACAAGTGGTACATGCCTACAGTCTTTTAGTGAAACTGTCTGAGAGGGAGAGGGAATGAATGAAAATGAATCTTTGTAGACTAGATGGTGTGTGTGAAGAACACACAAGGTTTGAGGCAGATGCTCAGAGTGTCCGTTTATGACCTGGATTCTGTCTGTAGGTACTGCTCCTCCTGCAAGCAGCACCAGCTGGCCACCAAGAAACTGGACCTCTGGATGCTACCTGAAGTTCTCATTATCCACCTGAAGCGTTTTTCATTTTCCAAATTTTCCCGGGAGAAGCTGGACACCCTGGTGCAGTTTCCTATCCGGTCAGGAACTTTGCAGAGAAAGGCTGTGGGAGCTGGGAAGGTACAGGTGGAGCCCACCAGTATTTTACTGTCTTCTCACCCACAGAGATCTGGATTTCTCTGAGTTTGTCATCAAACCAAAGACTGAATCTTCTCCAGACATGTATAAATATGATCTCATCGCAGTTTCCAACCATTATGGTGGCATGCGTGATGGACACTGTATGTACCAGGCTGTGGGGAGGGGCATGCCCTGGTTGGGGCTATCTAGACTAGGGATCAGGATAGACTCAGTACACGACTAGGTATATGGGTCAGAGACAAAATTATCAAGGCAAGAGGAGCATAAAAGTAAATGTGGCTGCTCTAGAGAGCTAAGAGGGTAGTGAGAATGGTTTCTGTTTATTTCAGATACAACATTTGCCTGTAACAAAGACAGTGGCCAGTGGCACTACTTTGATGACAATAGTGTCTCACCTGTGAATGAGAATCAGATTGAGGTATAGCTTCTGTACCTCTTCTTGCCCCCTCCCCCTTTTATGTTATCCCCTTCTGACTTCCAAACTGACCCATGTTCTCTCTTTGCAGTCCAAGGCAGCCTATGTCTTGTTCTATCAACGCCAAGATGTGGGTCGACGCCAGTCCCAGTCTGCTTCATCTGCTTCCCCTGCCTCCCCTGCCTCTCCTGCCTCCAGTTCTACACCCAACTCTGATATCATGGATGTCAATTAAAGAGCCCTGGAACCTACCATGGAGGAGGAAGCCCCCTTTGCCACTCTTTCCTGTCTACCCTGTCTCTTTCCTGTGTTCACCGCTCCCCCAGACATTGCAGGCTTAGTCTGTGGCTACTGTTCTCTTGTACCGCTGTATTACTCTCTCAGAAAGAAGAGACCCCGTGCTCCTGGCAGTGTGCCCCTGCCTGTGTGTGCCCGTACAGCAGTGACTTCCCCTCCTAGTCTTATTTATGCTTCCCTTCCCTCTTTTCCTCATGCCAAAGTGTTCTTAGTGGCTGATACTTGGGGTTCACATGAACACAGAGTGTATTTTCTTATTGAAACCATACCTTCCTCTCTGTGTTAAGTATACATAAAAAGCTCCCGACTCCACGTTTACCAGTGTGGATTGTTTTCTTCATATGTACTTTCTACGCACCAGTCATAGGTCTTTGTTCTGTGTAATCATTGAAGGTATGTATGTGGTATGGTATGTGCTTGATGCTGTTCTGACTGGGTTCATTGTTTTTGAGACAGGGTCTGTCTGTGTGGCTCCTGGGTATTCTAGAACTCAATGTGTGGACCAGGCTGGCCTTCAACTCAGAGATTGGGGCCTCTGCCTCCTAAGTGCTGGGATTAAAGGCATGGCCACCACAGCTAGCAGTTTTGATTGTTTATTAGTCACCTGAGCAGCAGGTGCTGTCTTTCTTTTCTTTTTTGTTTTGTTTTTGTTTTTCAAGACAGGGTTTCTCTGTGTAGCCCTGGCTGTCCTGGAACTCACTCTGTAGACCAGGCTGGCCTCGAACTCAGAAATCAGCCTGCCTCTGCCTCCCAAGTGCTGGGAGTAAAGGCGTGCGCTACCACTGCCCAGCTAGGTGCTGTCTTTCAAAAGCTTTTAAAGTACTTGCTGTAAGGACTATGTATATCAGGCTGGCCTTGAATTTGCAGCAGTCTTCTTGTCTCCTGAACAACACTGGGATTACAAGCATGCACTACCCCCTGGCTCCAAAGTGTTTTACAAATATCAACTCTGCCTTCATAGTGAACTTTTGCTAAGAGTTGCGTCTCTGGTTTTAGATGAGGAAAGGAGCGCAGACATGAAGAATGGCTTGGCTTCTGCCAGCTTATTGCTATATCTGGACAGCTTATTGATATATATGAATATTAGTCTGGATTCTTGAGCTGAAGACCTTTTGAGGGATCTGAGATGCACTACAGATAATAAGCCAAGAGCACACATGGAAGAGACAGGCATAGCTGTAGGTAAACATTGTTTGGGGGCATGGAGATACTTGCCAGATCAATACTCAAATGCTACTACTACCCTCTGAGAAGACTGTCCTCAGTACTACAAAGCTAGAGCTGGCCAGAGTGGCCAGCTGTTTCTATTGTCTCTGGGCTTGGTTCTCTGCCCCACCAGGACCACAACTCCCACCAGGAACTTTTACTTCTATCTCTTTAGAGAAAAGCAAAGTAGGATCATTTGCCAAAGAATACTACTGGACAGCCAAAAGATGCCATGTGTATACTGAACATCTCCCATAAGATGCTGCCCAAAGGAGCCAACCAGAACCTCTGGGGAGAGCCGTGGATGGAATAGACAGGATGAATGTGTGGCATCTGGATATAACTAAATGACATAGACCTAGTGAAGAAGGGAGTGCTGATCAGTGACACCCAAACAGCTGTTCTCACTAAGTTTGCAGTGGCCTGGCAAAAACGTAAAAAAAAAAAGGACACAAATCAGGAACAGCTAGGTAATGATGAGATATGGAGTGTGGGCACCTTCCAGCACCTTTATGCTCACTGACCAGACAGGCTCTCTACACCCTTTCATATAAGGGCTCTTACATAGGTAAGTCAATGAAATTACTTAAATCACTGGCTATTGGTGATTGACTTAATCCCTGACCCCTCTGCCTTACCTGGGAGGTGGGAGCTGAAAGTCTTGTTTGCTTTTTTTAGAGGTAGGTGAGAGGGTGTTGAGACAATCTCATATATCCCAGGCTAACTTCAAATTCATTACGTAGTCAAGGATGACTTTAAACTGTTCTTCCTGCTGGGATTATGGCCATGCACCACCACGCTAGTCCTAAAGTTCCAGCTTTCTAATCACTAGGTTATTTCCTACAGCAATGAATCCCTATCTTGAAGCCACCTAGAAACTTATCAAAGGTCATCTCACTGCTATAAAGTCAAATATGGTTGACAAGGCTTTTTATGAACAATGGGCTCCATCCACTCCGTCACTAAGGAAAGAAATGAATAAAATGTATATATTGGGCATGGTAGCACATATCCAGAATCCCAGAGTTTTAGCTCTATGCCAGGAACAAAAATCAAGAATGATATATCACATCATTGTTCATATTATTACATAATAATGTTCTACGCTAGTTAATATCTTTATTCTGAATCAGGTGATTGTTGTTTTTTAAATTTTATTTGTGTGTATGTATAGAGGGGAATGTGTGGGCCATGGCACTCAGGTAGAAGTCAGGATAATGCATGGGAATCAATACTGTTGTTCAACCATGTGGGTCCCGGAGACTGAACTCAGGCTATTGGTCTTGATGTGGCCGAGTTTATCTGCTTAGCTATATCAACTGACTGTGGTGGGGTTTTTTGTTTTTGTTTTGTTTTGTTTTGTATTGTATTGTTTTGTTTGTTTTCGGGAAAGAATTTCACATCAAGGCTAGTCTCAATCTTACTATGTAGTAGAAAATGACTTTAAACTTCTTACCTGTGTAGTTAGGTTTTGCTGTTGTTGTTGTTGGCGTTGGTGGTGTGTTTTGGAGCGGGGATTGCTTTGTTTTATTTTTGATATTCAGAGAACATCTCTCTACATAGCCCTGGCTGTCCTAGAACTCTCTAAGGCATGCACCACTATGATAAGCTAAAATTTTACCTTTACCTCCCAAGTATGGAGATTACCATGCCTGGTCTGTTTTTTGTTTTGTTTTCTTTTTTTTTTTTTTTTTTCTTTTTTTTGGTTTTTCGAGACAGGGTTTCTCTGTATAGCCCGGGCTGTCCTGGAGCTCACTCTGTAGACCAGGCTGGCCTCGAACTCAGAAATTCGCCTGCCTCTGCCTCCCAAGTGCTGGTTGTTTTGTTTTCTTTTCTTTAATAATATTTTTTATTGGATATTTTATTTATATTTCAGATGTTATCCCATTTTCCCCATTTCCCCCTCTCCAGGAGCCCCCTATCCCATCTCTCCTCCTCCTGCTTCTATGACGATGTGCTCCCATCTACCCCCCCACTCCCAACTCTCTACCCTCAAATTCCCCCACACTGAAACATCCAGCCTTCACGGGACCAAGGACCTCCTCTCCCACCTATGCCTGAGAAGGCCATCCTCCCCTACATATACAGCTGGAGCCATGGGTCCCTCCCTATGTGCTCCCAGGCTGGTGGTTTAGACCCTGGGAGCGCTGATTGGTTGGTATTGTTGCTCTACTCATGGGGCCACAAACCCTTTCAGCTCCTTCAGTCTTCACTCTAACTCCTCCATTAGGAACCCCATGATCAGTTCAATGGTTAGCTGTGAGTATCCACCTCTGTATACGTTAGACTCTGGCAGACCTCTAAGGAGACAGCTATATCAGGCTCTTGTCAGCATGCACTTCCTGACTTCCACATCAGCGTCTGTCTACCTTTGGTGACTGCACATGGGATGGATACCCAGGTGGAACAGTCTCCAGACGGCCCCTCCTTCAGTTTCTGTCCCACACTTTGTCTCCATATTTGCTCCCATGAGTATTTTGTTACTCCTTCTAAGAAGGACCAAAGCACCCACACTTTGGTCTTCCTTCATGAGCTTCATGTGGTCAATGAGTTGTATCTTGGGTATTGTGAGCTTTTGGGCTAATATCCAATTATCAGTGAGTGCATACCATGCGTGTTCTTTTGTGATTGGGTTACCTCACTCAGGATGGTATTTTCTAGTTCCATCCATTTGCCTAAGAATTTCATAAATTCATTGTTTTTAATAGCTGAGTAATACTCCATTGTATAAATATACCACATTTTCAGTATCCATTCCTCTGTTGAAGGACATCTGGGTTCTTTCCAGCTTCTGGCTATTATAAATAAGGCTGCTATGAACATAGTGAAGCATATGTCCTTGTTATATGATGGAACGTCTTCTGGGTATATGCCCAGGAGTGGTATAGCTGGGTTTTTTGTTTTGTTTTTGAGAAAGGATCAAATGTAGCCCAGGTTGTCTTAGAGTTCACTATGCAGCTGGGGTTAATGTTGAATGTCAGATCCTCTTGCCTCCACCTCCCAAATGCTAAGGTTGCAAGTATGTGGCACCATGCCTGGCTTGAGTTGATTCTTGTATATAGTGTGAAATAAGGCTACTATTATTTTCCTGCATATCTCTATTCACTTTTCCAGCAACATTTTTTGCCTTTCCCATTGCCTATTCTTGGTGCTTTTGTCAAAACAATTGTCCTTGTCTGTAAGGATGTGACCTTCTTCCAGGCTCTCTTCCAGTTCTACCAGTTGGTCAGTAAGTATTTTTATGCCAGTACTACACTCTTTGATGTACTGTGCAATTCTGAGATAAGGCAGTATAGTGCTTTTGGCTTTGTTTTTTCCTTAGGGTTATTTGGCCACTCAGTCTTTTGTGGTTCCATATGAATTTTAAGATTGTTTTGTTTAATTTCAATGTATTATTTTTTGGTGGCAGAAATTTCTAAGCCAGCTTAACGTTATTATAATACAGGGAAGGTGGGTATATCTGAATGTTGCCACTATGGATCTGGCCCCTCAGATTTCAAGTTTAAATACTTCATTCTTTTTCTTTTCTTTCTTTTTTTAAAAATTTCTTCCAGTAGTGCTGTGGATCAAACCCAGTATACAATCACAAGCACACAGTAAGTGTTCTAATGCTATAGTCCTGCCCAAGAACTCTGTTATATCACAATAGCAGATTCAGCTAGAAAGACAGCTGAGAAAAAAAAAGTGTGTCCGCTATCAAGCATGACAACCTGGGTTCAAATCCCCAGAGCTCAAGTGGTGGATGGAAAAAAGGGTCTCTCTGGGTAGCTCTGACTGAAACTTGCTATGCCTACATGAGTTATCTTCTCAATTGCACTTGTGTGGCCTCCACATTCATCAATGAATGGATGAATGAATGAATGAATATGTGCTTAAAGAATTAACTATGTCGTACCTTTCCAATAAATAAAACCTCAAATATGCCCAGGATGTGCCTTAATGCTGGATGCCAGGCTTCTTGAAAAGTTCATTGGAAATGAAGCACAGTACAACAAAACTTCCTGGACCAGATGTGAATTATGGTACAGACTGGGTGTACTGTGCCTATCCCCTGGAGAGTGTCCCCTCATAGGAAGTAGAGCCTACATGTCGTCCTCCTAGGTCAGC